CCTAATTCACTCCAGATTTATGTGGTGTTTGGCATCTGTTCTTTGGAAATAAATGATTGTTAAAATAGTTGAAAATGGTGGGGCAGGCTTATGTGATGCCAAAGAATGCTCTGGTCAAATAAGTAAGTAAGTTATGTCAAATAAGTTTGACTTATTCTTCATAATAAAATTCTGTAGAATTTTGTAAATATTTTTCCAAAAGAGTTTAAAATACAGTCAGTTGGGATAATACTTGTTTAGAAAATGTGAATTTTTTGCATTAACTGTAATTGATACATTTGGAAACAATTTGAACATAACTTGAATTTCATTTACATGCACAGTTTTTTCCATAAAAACACAAAACAAGAAAACAGCCCCAGTGAAACAAAGGTAATAAACACTTAACCTTCTCAAATGTCTACCAGCGATCTTTAGTCACTTATGTGTTAGTAACTATACCCATCTGTACCTTGTTACAACTTTCCATTTGATTTCAGAGATATCTTCTACCACTCACAGCAGCCCACAAGATGACTTTTGGGTCTTTTTCAAGATAGAGTGTCCATTTATTGTAGTAATATCGTTCATTCTTTAACCATTTAGTATCAGTACCATGGTACTGCTTTTATGTGATTCCTATCTTTTTAAAAATGTCATTTTGAAATTTTTGAATGTTGTGCTTTTAGCCCTATTTTCTCTGTACGCCCTGTGGTTTTATTAAGCAGTTTTACAAAATACAGTGATTTTTGCAAACATATATGTAGCATTGTTATGGAGCTGTGGTACTGTAGTTATGTTCTCCGCAACTACCCAAGATGAACAGATGCCCAAATACAGAGCTTCCGACTCTGTGGGCTCCACAGACGTTATCGCCCACCCTCTAGTACCTTCTCCTCACGCATCTGTACATATCTGACATACTTGCTCTTTCCTTTCCTCTGGCCACTCCTTTATCTCTGTACTCATTCCTCTGTTAATTTGAGCAATTCTGGAGCATCACTGGAATGCTCATTTATCTTCAACATTCCTCCCCCTGAAATGTAAACATTCTTTCATTTTATCTGCTACTACTGTGCAGAAAAACCCTATTTTTCAAATGCCAGAGCCAAGTATTACTTAGTTTCTAGTTTCTACTGGTTATGTCTCTCACAAGACCTTCCTTGCTATAACCACAAGCTCAGCCCCACTAAGGTGGAGCTCTGCAACCTCAGCATGTTAACATGCTATAAGACACTGCGCTAATACTTGGAACTATGGGGTGTGTCTCTCATCTCAACCCGTTTGCTCTCTGCACCATCTTGGGCCCTTCAGTGCCCACAGCAGTTCTGTCATGGAGTCCTACTCTTCTTCCTGCGTAATCTTGTCTGTCTGTCCCTCCCTCTTTCCCTCCCTCCCTCCCTAACATGTTGGAAAGCAGTGGCCCCACCTACCTCCTCTGCCCACTTCTGTGCTAATAATACTAGTAATACTACCAGTCTGTGTGTAGTACCTTTCAAGAGTTAAAAATCCATCTGCTTTTGTTTGTCCTGTTTTGAATGCCTTTTCCTCTTGTGCAATTACTTCTTGTGTCAAGACCAATCATAGTGTTATGGAAAGGCAAAGGCTTTGAGGTCAAATAAAGTACCACTTCCATTATTTATTAATTACAGTCCGTTTGCCTGTCATCCCAGATGACCTCGAGAAAGTGATTTTCTTCTCAGATCTTCTGTCTTCACATCTGTAAAACAACCTCTTCAATATCCACCTCACATATATAATGTGAGCATTAAGTGAAATAGAAAGCAGCGCACGCATGTGGAGGTGTCAGATTACTTTCAACTTGATTCATTCAACCAATACTTGTACTGTTTATAACTACAGCTTGGCATAAGGTAGGCGACCTGGCTCCCTACTAGGTCAGCCATCCCCTGGCTGCCCCCCGCTGTGTCCTCAGTGCACTGGGCTCTGCATTCAATCATAATTGCCAGAGGAAGGAAGGAAAACTGTGAGGAGGGCCCATTGCTCGCCCAGAGTCCCACCAGCTGCAGGAGGCCCACACACCCATGTGCCCTGCAGAACAAGGCTCTGTGCTCAGGGAAGACTTGCAGATGCTGTGTGAGCTAAGGGTGAGTGGGCCCCTGCTGTGGACAAGAGATAGGAATTCTTCACTGACCTAGTTTAGTTACAAATACGTGCTGTAATTATAAATAGGCATTCTAAAATGGTGAAAAGATATGCTGGCATTTCCAAAGGAAATGGTACAAATATTTAATAACAGGTGTGACAAAATCATCTCTACTAAGTTCTGGAAGTGTTTCTTCCTGCCTTGTTTGCACTTTGCTTGTTGTAGTTGTGGGCCTCTCCTCTGTTGGCTGGTTCCCTCTGGAACTCCTCTTCAATACCATCTGTAAATGGCTGCTGCTGTTTACTTCCAAGCCTGGAAAGAATGTATTCTTACTCTGTGTTCTCCACACTGATATATTCACCACATATTTTACATACTGTCCATGAGGAGGTGGGAAGTATATCCACTCTTGTATCAGAAGAGAAGCCTCTGTATCGAAACCTCAGCTACCAGTGAATCCTTCTGTCATCAGTGTGGGTCCTCATTGTGCCATGAGTGCCTTAGCATCAGCTATCCACAAATGGGCTGGGGCGGGAGAACGCTTAACTTTGTCACACCCCGTCGCTCATGGCTGTAATAACAATGCCTTGTTTTATTGTAGTGATTTTTTTATTGACCTGTTTTCTTGTCTGCCATTGTCCCAGAGTCATCAACAGTTTTATTTCTCCTCAGCACTTAGCTCCGAGTCTCCCACGGAGAGCTGCCCTGAATAACATTGTCCTAAGACCAAATGACCCTCCGGGTTGTGGAGCAGATGCACACATGCTTCCCTGTTCACACCTTTGAGATGAACATTTCTTCAGCTGTGCATGTATTTACAGCTACAAGGTGCCTAAGTATTGAACCTTTGGTGATTATTTCCTGTGAAGATGCTTCTGTGAATAATAACTAAGTGTTTTTCTGAGCCTCATCATGGCAGGCTTTCCAGGTAAAAACTAAAATTAGTGAGGAGTGTTGGAAACTCTGCCAGTGAACATATGAGAGGAAGGCTCACTCAGCTAGTTTGGGGTCACCAGCACATGATTTTCCAGGCCTGCTGGGTGAACGGGAGTCAGCATCTGCATTTGCAGGTGTCTTCGTTCAGCCAGGTGCTCCACAGGTGTCCTTTCATTTAGTCCTTGTATTATAAGGTGCAGTGTCTTTAGTAAGCGTGTTTTGCAAATAGGAAATTATGGCTCTGTGAGATGAACTGTTGTCCTAGATGACAAAGCAATAAGCAGCAGAGTCAGGATTGGAACTCAGATCAGTTTGTGCTCCTTTTGTGTCTACCTCCCTGCTTTCAAGAGTATAGGAGCCGCCCTCCTGCCAGGTGATTGATGGGTTGTGAGCCCGACTCTCTGCTGCTCTGTTCTTCATTCCTTCTCTGTTGTTCCTGTTGGTTTGTTTGCTTCATGACTAGGTTTGTATTATTGCTTGTATTTTTTCTTTTTCCTGTTGAGTGATGGAGGCGTGGTTGGTCAGTTCTTTGATTCTGAGCCATGACAGCCACCAGCCTTGCCTGAAGAAGTCCTTGCTGCTTTCCATCTCTCATTTGGCTTGACATCAAAGCTGGAAAAGGTTACTGATGCTGGTCTGAGCCTTCTAGATTCGGCATAATAGAGTTCCTAACTACTCATTTTTATCGCTGCCTATTCAGTATGTCAAGCTGTAAAATCGAATATTTTAATTTGTAGGAATGACTCAGATTTTGAAAAAACTGTGAAAATACTTAATTTCAAAGTGCAGACTCTACCACTAGACTGTGGATTTCCTGAATATAGGGCCTGTATTCAGAGCTCTCTGTGAATAATGAAGATTTATTATTAAACTTAGGATGTTCACTATGGCTTTTTTTTTTTTTTTTGACAATAGAAGTAGTTGCTAAATGATGTTTAACTTTTGAACCTAGTATGCTTCCTAAGTAGTGTGTTGGATTGTACTTTAAGTAATTGTAGTAAGAATGTGATGTTTTATTAGTCTGTAATCCAAGCATTCTGGCAGGCTGAGGCAGTAAGATTGCAAGGTCAAACCCAACCTGGGCAACTTAGTAAGACCATAAATACAAAATAAAAAGGGCTAGAGATGTACAGGCCCGGGTTCAATCCCCAGTACCCCTCCCCCCTAAAAAAATATTCTGTAGGGTATTTTTGTATTTAAAATAGAATGGCCATGTAAAATATATGATTAATATTATAATGCAAATATTGGAATCAACACTAGGACAGGCACCAGTAAACCTGAATCTAGCTAGTCCATCCCATAGAGATTCTAGAGCTAACAAGATTACTTCAGGCAGGTCTTTCGTGGCTTTTTGGTGAGTGAATTTACTGGTCCACAGTACCCAGATCCTTTTTATTTCTTTGAGCTTGGCCCCTTAAAGCAAGCAATTTGATACAAGAAATAAAATTGCATATTATAAAACATTGACAAAACATTAAAAATACCAGCTATTGTTAGTGTCATTTGTGATAAATGGCATTGCATAAATGCTGCATTTTAATTTTTATTGTACATTTTAAACTAATTTTCAGATGATGTTTGGGTTGAAATGCATAAAAGTATAGGTATTGGAACTCTGTGAGGTTGAATATGTTAAAATGATGAGCAAACATGTGATTTAAAGCTCACATCAGAGGAGCACATATACTTATTTATAGCTTTTCACAGTGACTCATACTTAATGCAGTATTGTCTCAGGATTCAAGTTTAGAGTCCTACTGGCCTAATCACACCTGGAACATAATACTATTCAGTTTTTCTGAAACCATTATGTGGGGAGGTGTGATTGTATCATTTTCGCCTACACCCGTTGGAGTCATGGGAAGTCAGATCAAGTGCTTTGCATCATCACGGCTTGTTTTAGCAGGGCCGGTGAGTGAGGCTGGAGGGTGTCTGACTGTCAGGCGTAAAGCTGTGTCTGGATATTTCTTTGCAGATGATTCAGTCCCTCAAGGCGCTGATTGAGAATGCAGATGCTGTGTATGAAAAGATCGTGCATTGTCAGAAGGCAGGTAAGTGAAGGCTTCTTTTCTTTAAACATTCATAGCATCATTTTGCCTCTGGAGTATGTCACCTTTTTCATGCTTCTATCAAAAAGTTAGATAAAATTTTTCCATGGCTAAAGAAAATATTAGTTCAGTGAGGATTTAAAAAAAAAAAAAACCCACCTGGAGGCAGCTTTCAAAATACATCAGCACTGATCTAGGCTGTGGACTGGGACTCACTAGGTATTGAAACTTCCCAGGCAGTGTTTCTAATGTGCAGCCAACCTGGGTGTCACTTGTGCTGCAGGTCTCTGCTGGTCAGCGTGACTCTTGACAGTTGCCATGAGTGTCCAGTACACAGGAGGCTGGTGAGGTTGAATGGCTCCTTAGGACAGTGCGCACCAGTTACGATGTTGAATGCACTGGCATTTGCAAGTGCTATGAAATTACTAATTTAATATACAAATATTGTACTATATTATGAAATTCAGCTATGTAAACAACCAAATGTTCCTCTACTTTCAATGGGGTTATGTTTCAATGGGGTTATATTGCAAGTTGAATCCTGAGTCAAAAATGTATTTTTTTTAAAATGTGTTCAGTCCCCCTGGTCTGCTGAGCACTGTGTACAGCAGCGCTGCACTGTGGAGTTCGGGTGCTGACCCTCCTGGCCACGCGGCTGGCTGGGCGCTTTGGCTGCAGCTGCTCCCCAGTCTTGGGCGAGAGTGCAGAACTTGTGAGCCTGAGGAAAGATTGGAATTCAAAATCCGAACGATGGCTTCTCCTGAATGTGTACCACTTTGCACCATCGTGAAGTCCCAAGTTCACAGGTTGAGCCATCACAAATTAAAGACTAGCTGTGGTTTAATTTTAGCAGAAATAGGATTTGAAAATCCAGAATTCTCCATTGTAATAAAATATGTAAAATGGAGGAGTTTCAGTTTGGGTTTGACTACCAGATTGGAAAATTCTGATGCAGGAGGGTATTTTTAAATCTTAAATAAGAATAACTGTGCTTGTTTTCCAGGGGTGTTTTTGTTTTTTTTGGTCATTGTGTTGAAAGACTATATTATTAGGCTGAAAAAAAGTTATCTTTTATTTCAGAAATCAAGTAGTTTAACATAGATTAAAGACAAAGTTATGTGACCGTTTTCCTTTTCATATTTATCAGAAGAATAGTCATATTAGTGATTAATGGATACACTCCAAAATCTTCATCCTGAGGGCTGGCCAGATAGCTCAGCAGACTAAAGCACCTGCTTAGGCAGACACTGGGACCCAGGTTCCATCCCCAGTGTGCCGTGCTGACCCCACCCCCAGGGCGCACTGAGATGGCAACTGAGCCTGGGTGTGGTGGGATGAACTTGTAATCCCAGTGCTTGGGAGGATGAAAACAGGAGCATCACTACAAGTCTGAACTGTGCAGTGAGACCCTGTAGACCCTGTACTAAATGCATAAAATAAAAATACCTTCATCTTGCTTTTTTCTTCATGTGAGAAAAATACTGTTAGCAAGATGATCCTTCCTACTTCTAGCGCTTTCCAAGCTAATTTTCCCTACAACCTCACAGTTAAAACAAATTTCCTCAAACACCGTTTTTATCATGTCCCTGCCCTACAGAAAATCTCCCAGTGGCTCATGAGGGTATCTGGGGCCATATCTACATCCCTAACTGCACATATGAGATTGCCAACCCGCTGGCCTACCAGTTGCCAATATTACTTACAGTTCATTACTTATATCATTTGTCTGTTCATTAAGTAGATATGTTTTGAATTTTATTTGGATAAAGTATGTGGTAGCTGTTGAACACCAAAATAAGAAAAAAATAAGTTTGGGGTTTGCCTTATGAACCTTCAAATGAACAGGGCATACAATAATAAATACAGTCTCTTAAGAATTCACTGTGTATTACTTAGGAGTCTCAGCCTAGTTTCTCAGGCAGTGGGAAGAACCCTGACTTTTGAGCAGAACAAGAGGGCACCGAACTTTAAAGTAATGGGCATAGTATGGTAGCTGTGTGCAGAGAATTTCAAAAGTCAGAACCCTATTGATGGTAGGAGGCATTGGCAGTAGTTGAAGATGGTGTTTATAGGAACAGTGAGGAAGGAAAGGAAGTGTTAGAGGCCATTGCCCCTCCCCTCCAGGCTGCCGTCTACCTTGCCGATCGCCTGTGTGTTCCTGCTTCATCAGATTTTCATAAGCCTTCTCTGTGGTGAGATCGTTCTGTCCTCTCTGCTAACCTGTAATACTCTTTCCCTTTTCCAAGTTGTCTGTCTCTCAGGAGACCTGTCATGATTCAGCATCTGTTCGTAAGCATTCTGTTCAACTTTTTATATCATTTCTTTCCTGCAGTTGATGGAGCTTCTTCAGTTATTGTGTGTGTTACTAATGCATTCCGTCTTTCAAAGAAAAAGCAATAGAACAGAATTTCAAAAATGCTAGGAGAATTACAATGATTAATACATTGCATATTGTTGTTTTCCAATTAGCTATTCAGAGTATAAAATATAGGCAAGGTGTCTTGTCCAAACAACATTAGCAGGAACCTTTCTTTTCAGTGAATTAAGAGAAACTAGCTATAACACTATCTTAACTATTTTGTGAATAAATAGATTTTTCCCCCTTCATCTTTTCAAAAGGATGCCAACTTCCTATGACACCAAGATTGCATATTATTTTCTAGGTCTTACCTGTGACATCTGTTTCAATGTCCTCTGCAGAATAGCAGCTCAAATATTAACCAACTAAATGTTATTTGATTCTGTTTTATTTCTTAAATATATGTATAAGAATTTTGGACTTTGTGTAATTCAGAATAACTTCATCAGAAAAAAAATTAGTAATTTGAGTACCTATTCTTTGCAAATTCATTGCTTTATGTAATTGGATAATTTCTATTAAAATTGCTTTATGTTGTTCTGTTTGATTTTGGTAAGGGATGTGTGTCCTTGTACTTAAAAACTGAAAAGTCTTCCCTTAAGGAGTTTCCAGGGTAGATGGAATAAGGAACAACCACTTAGGTGCTCTGCACCTAACGCCCTGGAGAAGCTCCTCCTATGGCTTCACAGTTTCTGGGGAGGCCTGCACAGCTCTTCTGTTACCTCAAGTACTTATGTAGACTCTTTTGGTCTTTTGTTTCTTATCTTTACAGTTACTATGAGGCTGTGTAGTCATCAATCACAGGAGGAACCACTAATTACGTTGTGTGCAGAAGATGTTGGCATAAAATTTTACTTTTGATAAGTGATTGGTATTACTTTGCTTGCAGAATTTTAATCTTGTGAAGGAAAATATAGGTCCCTAAAATACTGCCCAAGCAAAAGGATTTAGAAGTATTGTAACTTTTAAAACACAAATTTACAATCTTATTAGATGAAAATAATTTAAGGAATTAGTGGACCCTAAGGAGTCAGAAGCCATCTCCAAACATACCAGAAGTCCATCCAGTTGGGACAGGTTTCATACTCAACATAGTTATGTTAGTTGTCTTTAAGGAAGGGAAATGGGGATGCTGTTGTTAAAGAGAGGAGATTGGGGTGAGGGATGGAGGCTGGCCAGTGAGGACCTCCAGCCAGCCAGGGCCAGCGGCAGAGACAGAGATGGGAAGGGACCAGGAGAGCAAAGGGACAACTCAGTGAGGGGCAGTTAAAGAGCATTGTGTAGGAAAGGGAAGGACTTCTCTCCTGGGAGAGTAAAAAAATGGATATTGAGAGAAATTCTTAGGAGAACACCAGCTTTTCGGGGCTGGCGGGGGTTTTCAAGACAGGGCCAAGCATGGGGATATTTGTTCAGAATCAGGTCAGCAGCACTAGTCAAAGCGACCTGTTAAATTTTGGGTCATGTGGGGGGTGCTGTGGCTTACAGTCCAAGCCACCAATGTTGTTACTGTGTATCGGATGTTGGAGTATGTTTTCTAGATTTTTTCTGTCCTGAACAAAGAATTGGTCAAGATAAGGGTACATGGCAGTGGCTGGATTTTACATTTATTAAAGGTAAGAAAAGAAATTTGCTTTCTAGAGTGGGTTTGGGCCAAGAAAAAGTAGGAGTGCACTCTGCAGTGTGAGGGTGGACTGCCATGAGGAGACATAAGTAGCGAAGAGTTCCTTGTCTTCTCTCCTTCTTGTATGCCCCATTCTTCAAGTTAATGACAGGTCTGTGGCGTCCTGTGAAAAACCTGCTGCAGTTTGAAGAGAAGTACCTCTGCAGAATTCAGAACTGCTCTGTGTACCTGTCCTGGGTTTTTGTAATCGTTGAGGTTACACCCATTTCCCCAGCCGGTCGGCCACACCCTCCTGGGATTTCGTGATTAACAGTGCCGCCGCTTTCCAGTTACTCCTAGCTGCAGGCTAGCTGCTTGTCTCGCTCTCTGTGACTAAGGAAGCTATAAATAACAGCTATCCAAGAATAAGCCTGTGTAAATTAACCTAGCCAGATAACACTCCACACCTCGTCACCTGTGGTAGTAGGTAAGTGGTAAGAAACACGTGTAAGAGACCTAAACAGAAAGCTGTAGAGGAGGAAGGGTTGCAAGAGTTCATTTTATGAAAATTTCTCACATCCTGTCAGGAAAAATACCTTTTTCACTTTCTAATATCTCTAAGTGTCCCAAACAGTATCATCTCTTAGAATTGCAGTTTTTTTTCCTCCTCATCACTGAATTAGTCTGCTTTCTAAAGGAGAGGGAGATGGTCTGAAAAGAAACTCAGACTATACTACAGTGAGTTGGGTGTTTTTAATCAGGTGACTGGAAATTTTCTGGAGGAGAATAATAAATCAATAACATATTTCCTGAAAATTAACACATACATTGAATTTTCACTTCCACCTAAAGCCTCATTAAATGGCAAGAGTTTTTTTTAAGGCACAAATCCATAAGGACAAAGAATAGGAGCAAACAAACCTTGGACGCTGAAAAACAGCTGGACAGGTGATAATTGACTGAGGAAGTGGTAATTGGCTTAGTTGGTGATCCGAGAAGGCGAGCAGTGGTGGTGTACAGGGAGCAAGGAGCAGTCTGACTTAC